CAGATAAGTTCCTGAAAAGACACAACTTCAAAAGAAAAAAGAAAAGGAAAAGCAAAATGTGTCTTTAGTATTATTGCCCAAATGAATGTGGACACATGATCCCTTCCTTGCTATTTCTTCTGGGAGGGATTCTGTGCCACACTCCAGGCAGCCAGAACCCAACACACTTAGAGGAATGCTGTGCCAGAGTAATTCAGGCCTTTTGGCTAAGATCGAGGGAAATGAAATGAAGTGGTGAATGTTTGGGAGAAGAGAATGCACACTTTGGGGAACTGGGTGGGTGGGTGGCTTTGGGGAAGAGAACAGCTGGAAATGGTGCATAACCCAGTGAGGAATGGGGAGAAGAGTGTGGTGAGGATGCAGCCCGAAGGCCAGCATTCTTCTTGGCGGTATTTCTCAGACCAACAGACTAGAAAGAAAGAAGAGGTGTGTTGGAAAGGACATGTGACCCAGTGTTCCTCAGCCTTTCTCCTCTAAGCCTCACTACAAGTTTGTCCCCAGCCAGCAGATGTGGGTACAACCGCTGAGGAATCCTCAGCTGCTTCCCTTTGCCACAAAACCCTGAGGGCAAGCATCAGGGATTGTTGTCTCCTCTTTGTGAAATTCCAGTTCTGGTTGTGTTTGCAGAAATCAAGAGGTTTGGGTTACTACCAAGAGCAACCTCAAGTTGCCTGGGTTACTGCTGAGGGCAATCGTGTTCTGCCTGGACTGTGGGAGTTGCATAATATCCCAAAGTACTGGAACTCAATCCCAGAATTAAATTTTATATTCATACTGAATGAAATGAATATGTCGAAGAGACATTTGCTCTCCCATGTTCACCGCAGAGCTATTCACAATAGCTAAGACATGGAAACAACCAACACGTCCATCAGCTGATGAATGGATTAAAAAAAAAAAGACATATATACAGTGGGATACTACACAGTCACAGAAAGATGAAATTTTGTCATTTGCAGCAATACGAGCACAACTGGAGGAATTTATGTTAACTGGAATAAACTGAAAAACAAGCACTGCCTCAGCTCACTCGTATATGGAACTGGACAGCGTTGACCTCATAGAACGGAAAGTAGAATGGTAGTTACCTGAGGCCAGAGAGAGTAGCAGGGGTGAAAGGGGCTGGGAAAGACTGGTCAGTGGGCATTAAGTTACAGCTGCTGTGGCACAGGAGGGTGACTGTACTTAATGGTCACAGATACCATATTTCAAAAAGCTGCCTGGAAGAATTTTGAATGTGAAATGATAAGTGTTTGAGGAACTATGCATATGCTCACCCTGATCTGAACATCACACAATTTTTATATACGGAAGACATAAGAAAAATATACCTCGCTTGCATTTTTAAAATGCAGTTAGAACTATGAGGTGGGCAGGGTGGCACATGCCTGTAATCCCAGTGTTTGAGCAGTTGAAGCAGAGGGATCACAAGTTGAAGATCAGCCTGGGCCACATAGCAAGTTCTAGGACAGCTTTTAGTACATAGGTAAACCCTGTGTCAATAAGTAATAGGGTAAATAAGTGAGTGAATGCATGAATGCGTGAATGAATATCTATGAATGTCACATGCAATGATACTGCATAGTAGGAAAAACAATACTGGGGTGATGACCACACCCTGACAGTCCTCTATGGACTCACTGGATGAGAACCTCAGGGGGCTGCATTGTCAAATATTAGCCCAGGCATGAGAAAAACAAAGCATTTTTCTCTCATCTTGAAATATTTCACAAGTAAAACAAGAAGTATCCCATCAGCATCAGTGAGGTTACTGAGTAACTGCCAGAGCTAGCCGAGCCAAGAATAACTCGCTGCATCTGGTGGACAGTGAGTGCCTCAGCCACCACCAGTGAGGTCCACCAGCACTGACCCTGGATACTGGGGGCCCAGGAGCCAGTTGTGCCAGTTTGCCAGCTGAAAACTGAGCCCACTGAGGTTCAGAGTATAGCTGTCCCATATACATTTTATGGTAAAGCTAACTGGTAAGAAAAAATAATCCAGAGTCAGACTGATTATCATACATTTAAATATATAATGCTTTTTTTAAAAAAATGTACAAACTATGTAACATAAATTTATTAATAAAAACTTATTCCATATTTTGGGGTCTTTCCTCTAGTGTATAAATTTTTATTCATTTTATGAACTTTTTCATGGCTATTAAAGTTTTAGTGGTAATTTTCAAGTGTTGGCTTGTTTTTACTTTACACTGATGAATATTTTAGTCTCATTTAGGTGAAGTTGTTAAGAACTTTATGCCTTTGCCTCTATGAAATTAGCAAACACATTTAAAAAAATTATTATGCTTTTGAAAAAGCTCAGAGAAATAGGTGCTTTCATACACTGTTGGTGGAATTCAGGGAATGAATTTTGAAAGCCAGTTTACAGACATACTCATAAACATGTTCTTGCACTTATGTTATATATGTACATACATGTGCATGCATAAATACAGTCATACATTTGTGGTATGGGCCATTAACCCAGGAATTGTTAAATATTAAAAAGTTCATAAATTAAATAAAATGTTCATTGCATGAAGTAGGAGTAGCCAATATTTATATTTATGTAAGTATAATAATTATACTTATTTTCATTGATTTAATTCTATTAGAGTTATATGATGATCTATAAAATTACTCATCAAATCATTTTTGGATAAAAAGCAAATGGTATCAGTTGAAATTTTGATGCCATTTTGAAAAAGTGTATTACTGCTGTACAATATCATGACATTATATTTATCTGTGCCAGAAAAAGATACAGAGAATCTACTCTGTCTAAATGTTAGCAATGTAGCCACTGAATATACTGAAAGAATGAACTTATGGGTGGATGTTTATTTTTTTCTTATAGTGTCCTCTATCTTCCAGGCTCTCTACAGTGAATGTATATTATTTATGTAATGATAAACAGATGAAGAGTTATAAGTTTCTTGATGTATTTGTACCCTTTGACCCAGAAATTCTATTTTGAGGATAATATCCTACCTAAGGAAATAAACATATAAAGATGAATTTACAGTTGTGTTGTTTTCTGACTTGTTTATAATAATAAAGTACTAGAAGCAACTTAAATGTCCAACAATAAGGAATGGAGCAAAATTCTTCAGTGCATTCATATCTTAAAATCAGGTTCCTGCTAATATTTAAGAATAAGAAGAAATGCTTACAACCTATTAAATGCTTATATCTGGTAATCTGAACAACTACTTTGAAATAATATGCAATATAACAACCACTGTTGATTTCCTATCATCTTGTTTTGAAATTCTGTATCATGTTTAATTTTTTTTCTTATTTTTATTCTCTTTAAAATAAAAAATATATGAAAAGAATAAATAAATAAATTTAAAAGAAATTGCTAGCTAGACAGACACAGTGCAATTACATATTTGATTGCCTAGAAAAATATTAGAATGTATATGAACATGTTAACACAGATTACCAATGAGTGGTGAAATTACTTGTGTAGGTCTTCTGAGTTCCTTATGAATAATTTTCTATGCCTTTTATAGTATAATTTTTATAGATAGGAAAATGCAAACAGTAAAGAAGATTTTTATTACTGGTAACATTAAGATATAAGATCTATAAGATAATGGTCCCTACAATTTTAATTAATTAGTTCATTTATTTAGTTTTGCAGTCTTGAGGATTGAACCTAGGACCTTCAAACTGAGCTACATCCCCAGCCCTTTTAAATTTTGTTTTAATTTTGAGACAGGGTCTTGCTAAGTTGCTTCCTTGCCCAGGCCAGGCTTGAACTTGCAGTCCTGGCCTGGCTTCTGCTTCAGCCTCAGAGAATGTCAGGATCCAAATATTTTCTCAAGTTGTCAGTTTTACTCAATCTGCCTATGCACCGCACAGTTACATAGGGATACTGAAGTATTTTCTTTTTACTCCCTGAACCTCCCCAACAAAGAGTAGGAAGAATTTTGACCCAAAGTCTTGCTTTGCTCTGTGAGAGTTTCCAAGGACAGAGAAGAGGTGTCTCCCGGAGCTGCCCAACCCGCTTCCCGAGCCCTGACACTAAGCTTTCTCAACTATCCACCTCTTCGGGATCTAAGCAGGCGGTGGGCACTGCAGTTCCAAGTCCTCGACACCTCAGTGTCCTGCAGCCTTCCTCCCAGAAGCAAGCACCACGTCCCCAGGGCAAAGTTAAAGTTTTGCTGGCTGCAAGGAGAGAACATCACCCCGGTACCAGAGCCCTGCCAGCAGCCACTGCTCCGCCACAGCGGCACCGTCAGGTATAACTTCGAGTACTAAGTGTGATAGACACCTCTGCCCGGAGCACTGAGGGAAGGGACGACTCCTGTGTGCCCTGAGCGCTTCAGGTACCGTTGGTTGCAGCAGGCCTGGTGGGCTGTCGCGTGTGGCCCTAAGGGCAGCAGCACTAGACCTGCCTGGTTCAGCCCTGCGGAGCTCAGAGCTCCCCGCAAGCTGGGCGGGCGCGGCCAGGGGCGCGGCCAGGGACACAGTCAGCCTGCCTTCCCAGAGGAAGAGGACAGAAGCATCTTTGGAGGGTCTTGTGTCATTTTTCAACCTCCCTCTTCTCCCACAAATGAAAAGAAATCTCTGGCGTTCACTGATTTCATGCGTTATCGCTTTGACGCTTAGTTTACACTCCCTGCGGGTAACCCGAGAGAATCTTCCACGCACAGCTGTGCAGACAGGGGTAGGGCCGAGTTCCCTGTGCAGACAGGGGCAGAGGCTGAAGCCTGTGACATCTCTGCTGCGGGGAGGGACTTATCGTGCCTTCTCGCGTCTATGCAAGTCTGACCTACGGTCCAGGATTTTTTGTTTTTTGTTTTTTTGTTTTTTGTTTTTGTTTTTTTTTTGTTTTTAATTGACAGCTTTGAAAACGCTACAGGGCAAGGCGTGTGCAGGCAGAACGAAGCCCAAGGGAGGCAGACAGAACAGAGCGAGCAGAGCGAGCAGAGCGGAGCAGCGAGGCCGCTGGCGGCAGACAGCAAGGAGGAGAAGGGGACGGCTTCTTACTTGACCCGGCCGCCCTCGGTGTAGGTGGTGCGGTAGAAGCCCACAAGCGAGCCGTCCAGCCGGCCCGCGAACCCCAGGCTCAGGCTGTAGAGGGCGTCGTCCGGCGTGGTGGGCAGCTGCTGCGCGGCCTCCAGCACCACGAACTCCTGCGCGCGGTACTCGAAGCAGCGAGTGATGGGCACGGGAGCGCGCGCGGGCGTGTGCAGCTCGGGGACCCGTGTGAGCCGCGTCTCGCGCAAGTGCAGCCACAGGAAGCGCGTGGGCGCGGTCAGGCCCAGGGCGATGGTCACGTTGCCCGTGTAGGTGTCCTGCTCCAGCTCCGGCCGCACCTCCAGGTCGTAGTGTACCGGCACGACAGAGTCCGGCAGCCGGAAGCCCGTCCACGGCCCACTCGCGTCCTCGCTGGCCGGGCAGGGGTTCTGGTCCTGTGGGGGGACCTCCGACGGGCCCGCGGGGGGAGGGTCCGGGGTCCCCGTGTCGCCGGGACACGAGCGGGTCAGACCCACGGACAGCCCCACGATGAGCCCCACGGCCACCACCACCGCGGAGATGATGGCCACGTGCTTGGCCCGGATGCAGTATCTCCTGGAGTCCTCTTTGTCTGCAAAGTTCATCGTGGCTGCCGCCCACCGTCCAAAGTTACGCGTGGAAGGATGTTAAATTCAACTGAGCGGTGTCAGCTGACTTCCTCCCCAAAACTGGAAGGGACTCCCTGGGTTGGCAGCCTGTCCTGGCTTTTAACCTCCTCTCCCCGCGGCCTCTGGGGTCCTGTGTGCTCCTCCAGGCTCCCGCCCGCCCGGGGAGGGACGGCAGCTGCGGCGCCGGCGCGAAAGAGGAGTACTGGCTGCGGGGCTGCTGATGGGAGCGGCCCCCTTATGAACCACGCGCCCAGCCCGCCCTGCCCCGGGCCAGTTAAATATAAAACAGGGCTCTGCTTATCAGCCAAAGGGAGGATGGGTGGTTTTTTTTTTTTTTTTTTTTTTTTTTTTTTTTTTTTTTTTTTTTTTTTTTTTGCCAGAGCTCGATCAGCAGCTTTCAGAGAGAAAGCATTTGGCTAAAGGGTGTGCTCACCAGAGAAAAACTCAACCTTTGCCATTAGGTCTAACTTTCCCTTAGAGCTTTCAGTGGATCCTTCTGAACGCGGAGCTTCTTGAATTTCACTGTTTTGTCAGGTCACCTGCCGAGGAAGCTACGCGTTTTCATTCTTTTTCCCATAGGATGTACATGTTCCACTTTGCCCTTCAGAAAAGCCATGTCCTAGGGCTGGTGCTTGGGGTGATTCATAAATTCAGGGATCACTTGAGTGTGCAGGGAACGTTGGTGAAACTGGTGGTCAGTAAAGCAGAACCAGATGACCCCAAAGCAGCTCAGGTGATTCTGGATAAAAGGGGGAAGCACAAAGAAATTAGGAAGGGGGAGAAAGAGAAACTGAGATGAGGGGGCTTGAACAGGAAGACAAGATGCCCCACTTGTCTCTGGAGTTTGTCTCCGAGTGAGCCTGACTTCCGTAGTCTTTGATGTAGTCATTTCCAAGAGGTGATCACAAAATACATTTATTTAAATTTAAAAATAAACACTCCCACTCACTTCAAACACACTTATTGTCCTTGCCACCTCTGGAAGTTCTCTTGGTGAGTGTCCTCAGAAGATGTGATCAAAAGGATGGTGAGTGATGCTGCCCAGTGCCATCCAGTGGAAGGCAGATTTGGATAAATATGACTCTGTCCTCAACCATCTTAGTCACACCATCTGATACTATGACCAGAGAAGGGGAACATTTTGAGTCAACTCAGGACATAGAGGCAACCACAGCTAAAGACACAAGAAAGAGGATGCCCAGAGCTGCAGCAGAAAGTGGCAAGAATGGTGGGATGAATGTGTTTGAAGCAAGGAGAAATATTTTTAGGCAGATTCATGGCAATGTGTTTTCTTACTGTAATGATTTTTAAAATTTAAACATTCACTGTATTTCATAGCCATACTTCACAAGTTTGGAGCAGAATCCAGATACAAAAATTGGCCTACAGAGGTGAGAGTTCCATGACCAGTGAAAACCTTTTGCATCTAAATGACAAGAAGTGTGGAGGTCACAACAACCTCTATATTTATGAGTAGCTTGGATGTAGACACCTCATCACTGCTAAGAGCAGCAATACAGAGTAATTATAAAAATTTTGAGAATGTTTTTATGCCAAGCACTATCCAAAGTACTTTACAGAAGTTGTTTAAATCTTCTCTGCCCTCAGAGATCGGTGCTATTATGATGCTCACTTTCGAGATGATAAGAGTGACATTGAAAGAGGTCATTGCTGAAGGCCACACCTGGTAAATAGCAGAGCTGAGGTATGAACCCAGGGTGTGTGAGTCTAAAGGCCACATATTTATTACACTGCACCAGTGCCATTCTCTAGAGAGGAGAAATATTCAAGGGTTAAGTAGCTATGAAAACAGCATTTCTCAAAGTGCAATCCATGGTTATTAATAGACAGATGAACAGAACAGGCAATTCTGGGTTAGATAAAGTCAAGATTTTCTTTACTGTCCCTTCTTTCAGAACCTGTGGATATTGACAGTGTGATCCTCCAGAGATCAAAGAGTAAGAGTAATTTCCACATTTAGTGGATAAAATTATTTTGTTTGGTTTTTTAGTGAGACAGTTTTTGAGGGACTTATGTTCTGTGCAACACACTCTGAGAAATGCTGTTTGAAACCACACTCAACCACAAACCAACCAAACAAAAACGCAAAGATAATCTAAGGCAAAATAGTCCAGGGTATTGTTTCCTCACAAAATAACAGAGAAAGAATTAAAAGGTGATAAGCTTTTCTAAATTATGAGTCCATCTTGTGCTTACTAATTTTACATCCTGAAGAATTCTAAACTCTTTCAGGTCACAGTATATTTAAATTTGGCAAACTGACTTCCTGAATTTCAGTACTCGACACCACTTTTATTAAAAAGAGGATCTAAGTGTTGATGCGTCAGATATTTTGATGTCTGTCTCAAAAATGAAAGGCAAAATATGGATCAAATTTACCTCACTATAATGAAAGGAAAAAATGAAGAGGAAAACCATTTGAAAGAATGTACATAAAATTATGTTAGTTTGGCGCAATTAAAAAAATCCCAGATAAGCAAACATATGCAAACTAACTTGAAATCAACCTGGTCCACATAGACAGTAATCTCATCACCAGACCCTCTGCTTGAACTGAGCTGGGGAGATACCAGACCTCTGGGATGGAGAACACTTTAGGGGGACTAGAATGGTCACCTGCCGTACACTCTCCTGTTCTGCTTGAAATTCCACCATAAGGGAGTCATTATTTAAGTGCAATTTTTTTCTTTTACTACATAAAATACATAAATGAATACATATTGGAAATATGTGTGCACAAATTTTGAGTCTAAGGCTCATATCTTAGCATCAAGCCATGGAAACTGACTGTACCAGGTAAAGGGCACCGCATCCTATCAGAACCAGTGTATCAGGGTGGCCTAATGGATAGAAGCAAAGCAGACAGCCTCAGAAGCGGGGAGGCAAGACCAGCATGTGCATCAACCACATCTGGGGTCCACATGTTAGGGTTTACTGTGAGCCTGCTGACTTTCACAATGCAACACATGTGCTCACTGCAGCAGGGCCTCCCGTCCTGCCTGCCACAGACACTGGAAGACTGTCTGTGGCAAGAGGCTTTGACCTAGATGATCGAGGATCCATCAAGGCTGCCCCTTGGGGGTGAAGGAGTAAAGAGAGGGGATCTATGCCTGCATGGAGAACAATGGAACATCACAAGCACCCACCTAGATCAAATGGTTTGCATTGGACAATCTTAAATTGAAAGACTGTACTTTAGACAGAAGCAGTTTGGAAAGGCTACTCCCAATCAGTTCCCACTTGGTATGTCCAGGATAGTGGAGTAAAAGGGTGGTCATTTACCACTGGCCCTAGTGTAGTGGCAGCAAACCTATGGCATGCGTGCTGCAGCGGGGTTGTTTATATCATTGACAGCTCTACAAGGCTCACCATTTCTCGACCTAGACCACACCTCCCATGGCTTTTCACACTTGTGTTATGATTCTCTATTTCAAGCATAAAGTCCAGTATCTGTTCCCCATTTGACACACATAAATGTTTCCTGATTACTTACTGAATAATAAATGCAAAAATGAACAAGGAAGGGAAAGAGCATCAAGAATTCAAAACAGGAAAGGCTCATGGATATAACTTGCCGGGACTGCTGAGGAAAAATAAAATCAGGTCTAATCCCAAGAAAGATGGGAAAGATGACAATGGAGGCAAGGAGCTGGAAACAATACCTGTTCTTGAGCCCTGAGTGAGCTATTCCCTGAAACAGGCAGACTGAGGCAAGAGCTCACCCTGACCTTGAAGTCCTATGCTGCCCCTCTCTTTTGCAGTTGGAGCCCCAGTCAGAAGCTGTTAGGTCCAGGAATGAAACATTCCACAGATGCTGCTAGGCCATCTGTGTCCCTGGGGTATTGATGGCTCACCTGAGCAGCAGAACCAACTCCAAAACTGTGACCAGCCCTTGACACTGCACTGTAATTATTTGGCTGGTCCTTTCTTCCTATCAATTGATCTGTGCTGAATCCCATGATTCAAGAAAATAACCAAAATAGCAAGCTAGATTCACAATGAAGAAATCAGAACCTGCATTTTAGCCTGCATTTTAGGGAGCTGAGAGGACCTGAACCAGTTTCTCTCCATTCTACTCAGTCAGTATTATGAAGGACATCAATTTTCTAACCCCATGATAAAGCTAGATATTTCCAAACTTAAAGGCTTAGCACAAAGCAAGAGGGTGCCATTGTGTTGGTCTTGGCTGACTCTGAGGTCTAAATCCATATTGGCAGTGTCCTTTGTGATTCTGTTCAATCAATTTGCACTTTTAATACCTCTGGTCTCTATCATTAATCCAGCTTCAGCATCTATAAAAAAGATCCATTTCATTTTAAAACAAATAAACTATATTTTTTTTCTAATAGCTTAAACCTGCTACAGATATCAAGAAATGTTTTAAGGAGGAAAATATTCAGCAAGCCACATCTAATTTGTACTAGTCAATAACTGATGCCTTTCTCCAGCAACACAGTCATTGTGGTACAAGGTGAGGAAACACATAGTCAAGAAGGTGAGAAAGAGAGCAAGAAAGAGGGCCAAAAGGCAAAGGAAAGGGACAGGAAGAAAAAGGAAGATTTTCAAAGTTGAGGAGGAAAATAACCTTTAAATATAATTCAATAAAAAATGAAAATCAATGAAATAATAGGCTTGTGTCTTCCCTGTTCCTTGTTCCCAGGTTGTTCCCAGAGGATGTTCTAGGATATGTGGACTTGTGGCCATGACACCTCTCTCCCTTGTCCACCATGGGCACAGTGTCTCAATTTGCAAGCAAGATTCATGTTCCTATTACTCATTTGGATCATTACAAAGAGGACCAGCTCACGAAGCCCCCTGAAAAGTGTCTCTAGGTCTCCATCATTCACTTGGTCATTCAGTCACTCTACAAATATGTGTTAACTCAAAAAAAAACAAAATAGTTACTCAGAGTACAAGAAAAAAATGTGTTAACTCAATAGATATTTACTTTTCATTGACACTTATTAGGCAAGGAACTCTAGGATGAACCCTAAAACACAGATGTTAGAAGAAAGACTAGTAAATTCCTTTAAAGGTGTGTGTGTGTGTGTGTGTGTGTGTGTGTGTGTGTAAATGCCTGCTTTGTTTTTGGCATGTAGAGATTTTAAAAATATTCAGAAAAGCAAACAAAACAAAACAAAAGGATTTATTAGTCTTATAATTTTTAACTGCTTTTATATTAAGTTCCCAAATGTGCAGTATTGCACTGAGAAAAAGCAGCTGGATGT